CATAGGAAGAGGGCATGACTTGCCTTTCCCTGGACCAGTACCTGCTCGGGTAATCTCTCTATAATTAGATTATGCCTATCAAGTTGAGAAGAGAAATCTGCATTCCTACTGACATTGAAAAATACAGTTAATTAGCTAATTTCTTAATTGCAAAATTAACATCTTACTTGACGAAAATAACTCATTTCAAAGTAAAGTGATTCATTCAAAGATAAAAAACTACCATGGAAAAACTCAGAGGAACAACTGATATATGATATTTTATTTCTATTTGCACATGCCTCCATGTTTAAAAGTGAGTCTTAAGGAAACCTTGGTTCAAAGGAATCTACCAACATGGAGAATTTGTGAACAAGAACTGTGTCACTGGTTTTAGGGGGGAAAATAGCCCAGATAGTTTGACCATCTTTACTTTTGTCAATGGATTATTTTCATAAGGCTTTCTCTTATGTATTTTTTCTATTCACAGCTGGCAACACTCATGTCAACACACTAGTATAAAAAATAGATGGTAAAATGTGCTCACAGCATATGATCACTCCAGGTGACAACCATCTAGTTAACATTATCCCTTGTATTCATCATTTCCAGGCCCCTCTCCTTCACCAGTCTTAAAAATTCATAAAGAAGCTTTTCCAGCTGTACTTTTCTCATCAGCATACTTCTCTGCAGAATCACCATCCAAGCCAAGCGTAAATCAGCACCATCTAGATTACCCCAATGATGTTTCCAACTGCCACATCATCATACACTCTTTTCTATGCCTCCTCCAATCTTTCCTTCACATAGCAGCCAAAGCAATCTTTTCAAAAATGCAAATCTGATAATGTCATCCTTCTCTTTTCCATATGCCACACTTAAAGACCTGCCTAGCATGGTGAGTGCACTTGTCAAAAGATCAGTTTCCATTCATCACTCATACTCCTCTGAACCAAAGTCTTGAAGATGCATGCCAGATTGATAGAACTAACTTACAGGAATGAACCAGTGACAGACTCATTTTGACAGAAATTTTAAAAACGGAAAGTGATTATTCAAAATGGACTCAAATAATGTGTTTCCTGGAGTTCACAACTTGGTTGTCCCACACCAAATACACCAATTTCCATAAATAAGCCTCCAAACACCAACACTCTACCAGCATCAACAACATCCCTTTAGCATATGGCAAGGATCCCTCATACAAGTGATAATTCTCTCACTGCCTTTGGAAAATGGAGCAACTAAAATTCTCATCAGTTAACTGCATCCATCTCAAAGACCTGGACCACTGAGTGTCATTCACTTCTTTATAAGTTGAGTATATCAACTTAATTTAGGAAGTTAATTGTAATTCTAACTATGACCTTCAAGGCTTAAATAAAATTACAGAAAAACAAGAGAATAGAAATAAAAAATGTATATATCTAATACCTATTTATAATATAAATATAGAACCATGCATAGATTACTTTACATATATGTATATAAATTAAGATATATGCTTTCATATATTATATATATGTAATATATATATTTATTCACTATACACATGATAGAGGAAGGAAAATCATAAAGGTAGATCCTTCAATCCTTGTTTCCACAAATGGTCATGAGGCCATTACTGGGTATTTCCTTCCTCTACTACTCATTTTATATTCCTTCTCATTCAGGAAATTCTTTCGTTGGCATTCTTTATTGAGTAGGGATAATCAAGCCTCCATTCTTAAGAGATCTGAATACTTAGTGATGCTATTTTACTATCAACTTCCAATAACTTCTAGTACTGGTAATGTTATGGTGATGGTAACCATATGGTAAGGTTAAGAGGTGTCCCAGGGACCTACCGGCTCTCATCAATGGTCCTCTCTGCCCTCTTTGTGAGGGAGTGACACTCTCCCCTTAACAGTGAGAATCAAATACTCCAGGTAGCACAATACTCCTCTTTGTTGACTCTTCTTTCAGTGGCACAAGGAGACTGAGGTGACCAGGGGCAGCTTCAACTTCCAAGTCAGTGAAAGGGATGTGGTATTCCCAGTGGTCTCAGAAGCTACGAACATTTTTTGTTTCATTTACATTAACGTAGTTTTAGTTGATTCTGCTTTTTCTGGGTTTTCTTATGTTCTATGTATTCTCCATTCTACCATAAAAATAAACGTTTCAAAAAAGAACAATAAAAATATTTAACATTAATTAGCACTGACTAAGTGCTAGGCACTTTCTAAGCATCAAATCCTAACTCATTCTAGCCTCCAAATGAACCTCAGTGATAGGTATTATTACTGCCCTAAATGTAAAATTAGGGAGCAAACAGAGGCATACAGAGGTTGTTTCCTGCCCTAAATTAGTAAATCCTGCTGGCAAGGCTGAGACTGGAATCCGGGCAGAATCCGAATGCCACATTGTGAGTTTAATCCTAGAAAAATCTCTGATTTGGACTGTTCAAAGTGCCCTATCTCTTTCTGGATAACATCCAAACATCTTAACATGGCTTACTAAGATGCTTCTCCAATAATATATCTTGGATCTTCCACATACTGCACTATAGACATTCTGAAATGTTTTAATTTTCATGCAGGTTCCACGAGTTCTGGGTGATTCCGAGCCTTTACATAGCTGCTTCTCTCTTCCTAGGATGAATTCCTTTATAGCTCAGCTTGAATGGTTTGCTTGAAGAGGTAACCAGACTCAGACATATGACGTAAACTATACAGTATTACAATATCTGATATATCTCCCATTGTAGCACTCACCAAGCTCTACTATAACTGTTTGTCTCTCCATGAGGCTGTATGGTTTGTGAATGTAGGCACCATATATGTCATATTTTATTCCCACAACTTACTAGAAGCCTTGGCACACAGTATGTAATCAACAGGCATTAATTTAATAAATCAATGAACAAATGGATCAATGGATAAATGGAAGAATTTACCAAATTTATTTACTAATGCATTACATGTAAAATACTATATATTACCAAAAACTATATATATCATATTTTATATTTTCCCAGATATACATATAGTGACATTTGTAAATGTGACTTGCTTACAGCTGTAAATATATCAGAAGTCATAAAGTAAGCAAAAGTCAGGGGAGACATGGTTAATGAGAAATCCTAGTCTTAAATGCTACTAATATACATTTTGATATTTTGTTTTATGAATATTTTATGAGCTTGTATGTATGTAGAACTGTGCCAGGTGTTATGATGGATTGAAAGTATAAATCACACTCTATTTTTTTACGATTTGCCTGGGAAGCCACGAGTCAATGAAAGTACAAAACATACAGCGGCATAAATTTTATCTAATAAAGGTTATAGAAGATTAATGCAGGTGAACTTCAGACAACTGAAAATAAGACCTGCAGTCAACAGGAAAGCCTTCACAGACAGATGAGTTTGGGTGGAACCGGGGAGTGGTAAGAACGTATATAAGTAATGAGGAAGCAGTAAGATAAGAAGTATGGGAAACATGTAGTCTATCAAGGCCTGTAAATATTCTGCAGAATATGTAATATTTTTAGACTAGGAACAAACACAGGTACACATGGCAAAGACTGGACAGAAAAAGGAAGTGTGGTGATGGAGTCATGCAGTAGCCACTCAAAAGCTTTCTGATCTTCTCACCACAAAGAACACTGGGGCATCCTCCAATAAACTGGACCAATCAAATTATTCCACCTTGCATTCTATTTGTCATTATTAATTAGAAACAGCCACAAAGTCCATTGAAGGAGTCAGCTAAAATAACACCTTTTCTTTACTAATGGGTCACGGCTGCTTTCGACATGAGGGCTTATTGTCAAGAGGGCTTATTGAGACAATTCTTCCAAATCTTTATGACACCATTGCATTAAGAGGGATAATTGATGATTATGTCCATAAATAAATAAATTCTGTAAGACATCATTTAACGTAGGCCAATTTTCATGTGTATGAGAATTAATTAATAAAACCATTTGCCATTTCTAACTTAGAAAGATCTAGAGCAGCTCAGTACTAGAATCCCAACTTTGACCGATTGCATTGTCTGTCCTGTGATAAACTCTGGAGTCTTTCTTCTCATGGGCTTGTAAAACAGAACAATGATGAATTGTCCAGAGGCTTTTAGTGAGAGTTATCCATTTTTACATCCTTTTCAAGGAGTGAATAGCTAATTGTTTTTATGCTCTCTCTTCTTTCCAAAAGACTCTTCTTTCCAAAAGTTGTTTAAAATAAATGATACAAGTGGAAGGAGGTGAGACACCTGCTTAAGTGAAACTATTCTCTTTCCCCTTTAATTAATAATAAGTTTCTTAGTAATCTTTCTTCAACAAGTAAAGTTAAAGTCACGTACAATTATAGAATTAAAAGTAAAAATAGGGGTCAACCCCGTGGCATAGTGGTTGAGTCCAGTGCACTCTACTTTGGCGGACCAGGTTCATATCCCGGGTGCAGACCTACACCACCTGTCAAGCCATGTTACGGTGGCAACCCACATACAAAATAGAGGAGGACTGGCACAGGTCTTAGCTCAGGGCTAATCTTCCTCAAGCAAAAAAAAAAAGGAAGATCAGCAACAGATGTAAGCTCAGAGAGAATCTTCCTCACCAAAAGAAAAAAAAAAAAAACCTAAAAATATATTTGATCATTTGGTCAATTACTGTATGCTTTTCCAGGTAAATTTTTGCCTTTCTTGGAAAAAATACATTTTCATATTTTATCATTCTTGATAATATTTGTTAGAAGGAATACCCTCAAATCCAAATCTTTGTTAACTTGTGTATGCATCTCAAAAATCACATGATTTGAATCAAAACCAATAGACAAAATAAAATACAAAACACTATATTTTTTATGTAGTAACTAATCATGATCCTGTTTGCTGCTCCAAACATAAATACTCAAACAAAAATAAATTAGGTAAATTTTCTGGCCTTACTTTCCTACCAAAAAGATTCTCACAGCTGGATTCCTAATGAAAAACACAAACTAAACACACTTGGCTTTTAATTGAAGAGGGAGAAGTAAATTCATACCTCAACTCCTATTGGTGACCGACTTTAATTTTCTGTAAAGGAATACAAAGGAAACTAAATCATAGGAACAAGAAGCAGCAAAAGAGAGCATTAATGGACAAGAGTTTTCAGTGCATTTCTAGGAAAGCACAGGCAGATGAACAAAATGTTAACAAATGGCACAGAATGCAGGAAGCTCCAGGCTATGGTTGAGATGGAAATTCCTCCATAATATAGGAGGAAACCAAGAAATAAATTATGAAGTTTAGTGGGAAACAGAAATCAAGCTGTATAGATGAATGAGAAAAACTCAACATTATTATCATAAACACTTCCTTGTGTTTAGTTTATAAAGGTAAAAATATTCCATTCATTATCCCAAATTTGACCACCTTTGGAATTTGACTATATGAAAACCATGCAAGGCAAACCATAAAAATTTTGATTGAAAAGAACAATAATGGTGAATTTGCACTGGCCAATATCAAACCACTCTAAAGCCATAATATTTAAATTAGTTTGATAGTGTCTCAGAAATGGTCATATCAATCACTAGAACAATGTGAAACAAGAGCCAGTCTCACGTACCTAAAGTGCTATAACATATGCTAAAAATGTTATTTCACTTCATTGGTAGATTCCATCACAAAATTCTAAATAAATCTAAATATGTCCATCTATGCTTACACCTTTCTTAATTTCTTTAGCTATTCTGATTTAATTCTGTTGACTTGAGCTGTCTATGTCTGAAAGGGGTTTATTTTACATGCCCATTGAAATTATCTATTGTCCTTTTTTATCTAGTGGTTTCATCATTATGGTTTAATGTTATCAATTTAGTGTGCGTAGAGGTTTTTGCTGTTAATCTCGTTGGATTGTACCTTTACTCTTATTAAAATATCATTAGGATTTTAGTTTAATACTATTATGTGAAATTTTCTTTGTTATATTAATATGGTAGATCCTCCTTTCGTCATTTTTAAAATATGCCTAAAATGTCCTTGTTCACTGCTTTTAGTAAAATTCCTTTGGCCATTTTCTTTCTTATGTTTGTATATTTTAGTGGGAAAAAAAGAAAGTTCATTCATTCAAACATTATGATTCTTCTATTTTTGGAATTCTTACCTAACAGTCGCTTTAAATTTCCCAAGTGAATCATCTGCAATTATTTAGATCCAATTATACGTTTTTCTACTTACTTGGTTTCTCACTTTTCTTATATCCATGTCTTCTTTTTCTCAGATTTATTTAAATAATTTTTTTTTCAGAAAAGATATATGGGATATATGCTTTATGACTCCTCACTTTTAAGAATACATTTATTTTGCCTAAATCTTGATCAAAAGTTGGGCCACCTATGAGATGCTAAGTTAACATATCTATTCTTAGGATTTATAGATAGTGATCCACTGTTTTCAGTATCACGTATTTCAGATAAACGGCCTGAACACAGCCGCAAACTAATTCCTTTGTAAATATATCCCCCTCCTCCCCAAGTTGTAGGACATCTCGCACTTCCTGTTCATCCTTAGAGTTCAATATTTCTTTGTACATATTAATGTGTTTGTCTCACATTAATGATTATTACTTTGAAGGACGCTTTGGTCTCTTTCCATGATCTTTTTCATAAGTTTTGGCATATTTTCTTCAATTATGCTTTTGTATTTGTGCATGTGTGTTATCTCTTATCTCTCCCTTTGGATTTCCTAATAACTAATAAATGGATATGGATATGGATATAGAAATATTGGATCAATTGTTGACCTCTCAAATTTTCCTTCATAATTTTTATATTTTTGTTATATCAGAACATTTTACAGGAGAACTCAGCTTTTTCATATGCTTGATAAGGTTACTACTTTTTGCTGTTATATTTGTCAATCCCTATCCTAAAAACTATTAACAATTACCTAAAGGGTTTAGTGTTTCAAAGAGAGGTCCCTCTTCTTTCTCTGTCCCTAACTCTTGTCTCTGTCTCTTTCTCTCTCTCTCACTACTGGTCCTTTTTTTTTTTTTTTTTGCTTCGAATACACAGAATCCCTTGTTTTTTTTCTAAGACTAATAATCCAAAACTGATTATTTTCTTTAAAAAAAATATTTTCTCTTTCTTACTTTTTGGCTTGATGTCAGTTCCTCTTCAATTAGCAGTCCCAATACTGTTGGTGATCGTTAAAATCTTTGCAATTCTTGTTTCTTGGATACACATATACACACATCCAGTTCCATGTTCCTTTTCATGAGTAAAATGAAAGTCACAGGATTACTGATGTTGGACGGATTCAAGCTCTTTTAAACCTGTGTGTGTGTGGGGGGGGGGGGGGGGGGAGCTAGCCTTCTTTTTTAAAGAGGTTTCATATCAATTTTTAAAAATCTTTATGTTTCTATCATAAAATAAGACACCAAACAAAAAAAGTGCACAAACCAAACTGTACAGCTCGATGAGTTACCACTACACAAATATGTATGTATCTACTACGCAGGTTAAGAGATAGAACACTGTCAACACCCCAGCAGCTCCCCCTTATGTCCCTCTCTAAAACTCACTCCACTCTATCCAATCCAAAGTAACTACTATCTTCACAATACATTAATTAATACATATGAATATATATTAATTTCAAAGAACAAACCTTAATGATGGTCCTGAGGGTAGCAATGTCCAGGATGGGGAGCCCAAGAATGGAACGCCGTGTTTCGATTGCTCCAATCTTGGACCTGGACAGACTTTAGATTGCGGCCCAGAGCGGCGCGCCAGGAGGCTGTGTTATTGCTCTGGGCCCTTCGGGCTCCTGGAAGGCTATAGGTTCGCTGCGTGCGCATGAGCAGTTCGCTCCTCTGTTCTGGCTTCCTGCGGTCCCACCAGTGCACAGGGTTTGAGCCAGAGCGCATGCCTGCATTTGGCGGGGCCTTAGGGGCCAGGCGCAGCTGCACTCTCTCTGATTGGTGGGGTGAGAGGTCAAGGAGTCCACAAGCATTGCGCATTGCCTTACAGAGGGCGTGAGCCAAACTCCTTACAGATGAATTTGGGAGGAGGAGACTTAGGCACTTGGGCACCAGGGGTTTCTTCTCCCAAATTAAAAAAAAAAAAAAAAAAATGTGGGCAGGCCTGGTGGCACAGTGGTTAAGTTCCTGCTCCGCTTAGCAGCCTGGGGTTTGCTGCTTGGGATCCTGGGTTGGGAGGTACGCACCCCTCCTCAAGCCATGCTGTGTCAGCGTTCGGCACACAAAATAGAGGAAGATTGGCATAGATGTTAGCAAGAACAATCTTCCTCACCTGACCAAAAATGAAAAATTAAAAAATGCATCCCGAAACATCTAAACATCATTTAGGTTTATTCTTTGAAATTAATTTAAACGAAATCATGCAATGTGCGTTATTGTATGTCTGCCGTCTTTTACTCAATATGAGGTTTCTGAGATTCACCAATGTTATACCATGTTGCATCATTTAGTTTATTTTCATTGCTGCATAATAATCCATTAATTCTACTGCTAATGGGCATTTGGGTTGGTTCCAGTTTGGGGTAGTAATGAACTATGCTGATATAAACATCACTGCGTATGTCTCCAGGGAGAGCTTTATATCCATTCGTGAAGCTACTAATCACCTGAGGTATGGATATGTTTTCGCCTCATCTATAGTGCCAGCAATTGAAGTTTCTGATGGTTTATCCTCACTATAAAAGGGGAAAATTTTCTAGATTTTATCTTGGGTCAAAAGTCACAAGCTGTGAGAGTAGGAGACAATTTTCCCAAACTGTGTAATGAATTACCCTCCTGGCTGCTCCACGGCCGCCTCTCACCCTCAGCTTCTTCTGAGACAGAGAAACTGAACTGAGCTATTATGTTGGGAAATCTCACAGTGATGTGCATGCTGAATGCAATGGCAGTTTTATCAGCTGTTAATAGCATTTCTTTTATATCAAGAAATTTCCCAAATGTCCTTATTCTTCAACAGCATCCTTCCAAGTGTTTCAATGATGCTATGAGTTTATTTTTGTTTCGGTAATCCTTTTTTGTGCAATAGAAGAGGTAAATAAAACGACTCTTATACAGTCATTATGAAGCAGAATTAAGGAGTTTAAAAGTGAAGAAACAAGGGAAGGAAAGCAATAATAGCAGCAGCAGCAACAAGAGCAATAGAAATTTTCTTGAACGGCTAAATAATCTGTACGTTCAGATCTCAAGGGCTCACTGAGTTGAGGTAAAAATTAATGATCTCATATGCCCACCCAGAAATATCCGGAAAGAAAGATATGGTTGAATGGCTCAGCATCTGTTCTAGCGTCCTCCCAGCGTCCATTGTACTGAAGAGGCAAGCTGACTAAAAATGCATTTTTCCAGACAATCTTACAGCTAGGATTCTGGATATAATTTAAGGAGGAGGCTTTGCCTCTTCTGCTTCTGATGTTTCTCTTCTCCATCATAGTTCAGGAAGCACGGGATTTTCCTGGGTGCCAAAAATAAGGCACAAATATTCTCCCTAGGTCCAAATGGTGGTTCAACCACTTATGAGACTAGCGGATGCCCGCTGTCTGGATCAAAGATAAAATTGTGTGTTCTGGGGTCAACATTTCCAGAGGATGCCCTTATTTCTCATCTTGGTGATTGTACGGAGGTAACAACATCCCTGTTAGGGCAGATTGACAATGTTAATCTGAAAGTCATTCCTCGAGTATCCATTTACAGAATATTTCTCCCACTTTTCTAAAGATTTTGTAGAAACTAACGTTCTGTATCAAATCACTTCCTGCTTTAAAACACTAGGGTTGTTTCTGCTTTCTTCAACTTAACCCTAATTTAAAAAGTATTTGATATGAGAAATGGTTGCAGACAACAAACCAACACGAATAAAAAGCCATGATTAGCTGTCTTATCTGATAGGGTTTATAGACAGTGAGAGTTTGTTCCAGTAAGAAAACAAGGTTACTATAAAGAAATTAGGAAGAATACTTAGAAATAAAAATACAGAAATGTTGAAGTGGATTTTACTTATGTGATTTATTTACTCAATTTTCCATGTCATGTAAAGAGAAAAGAATCATTTAAAATATTTCCTCTAATGATCTAGAATAAAGTGCCTGTTGAAAGTAAGGCAGGGGCCGCCCTGGTGGAGCAGTGGTTAAGTGCGCACCTTCCGTTTCGGCAGCCCAGGGTTCGCTGATTTGGATCCCGGGTGCAGACGTGGCACCGCTAGGCACGCCATGCTGTGGTAGGCATCCCACATATAAAGTAGAGGAAGATGGGCACAGATGTTTGCTCAGGGCCAGTCTTCCTCAGCAAAGAGGGGGATTGCCAGCAGTTAACTCAGGGCTAATCTTCCTCGAAAAACAAAAAAGAAAGTAAAGCAACAAGAATGAGAAATACATGGATGGAAGAGTGAATTAGTTATACTTATCTATGAAGTAAAGCTTAAATAAATAAAATTACAATATCATAACTTGGATCCATGTATGATTAGAGGACCAAGGAGATTTTATAACTTCCTTAAAACGACCTCTTTTATCATTTATCTTAGGATTGAGGTCGCCTAATACAGATAAAGTTAAAGTGTGTAGGTTGTTGAATTATTATGATGAATATACAAACATTTCAGATATCGCACATAAAAGTTAAGGCATTACTTGGGAATGACTGAGAACCAAAGTATTGGAATAATGATGCTTGGTAGCATTTATATGATTTTAGGTTCTTGAATCCAAAACCCCAAGAGTCTTTTTGCCTGGAGAAGCTGTCCCCCCTCCACTATATGAGGAAGTTTACCTTCCTTTGTTAAGATAATGATAAAATCTAAGGAAAGGCATGCCTATTTTCTCCTGCCTTTTCTTACCATCAAAGCTAAAAAAACATATCAAATAACTTATTAATTAAATACAATGTTTAACGACGGGAAAGAATTTCTACAGACTAAAAGGATTCTATTATTTTGATGAATTTTATCAAGAGTTTCCAAAGAAACATATAGGCAAAATGAGTTTCAAACACACTACAGTAGAGTGGAAGAAACAAAATTTTGAATCAGGACAAATTTGTCAACATGGTACATTTTTCAGATATACTGCATTTTTTGTGTCAGCTCACTAAGCTAGGAATGATCCTATTTGCTTACTCAGTTGGGAAAGCACAATCTAGATTTAACAGTGGCCAACACTAAAATAAGTTTAGATGCCAGGAATCAAAGTCTAATGTTGAGGAAGGAATCCAAAATGTTAAGGGGGTAAGGAAGTTGGCTTGGTCTATCCTCTGGACCTATGAACTCAATCTCAACTAAGCTCCATAAAAGAGCATGGAGGACAATTTATTCATGAAGTTTTGTTGCTGAGGATGAAATGGGAGATTGTAACAGTGAAATAGGTTTTCCTGTTTCTCCAGGGAAGATGCAATCCTAGAGTTTTAGAGATCAAGGGACAGGACTTCACCAGTTATCATACAAGGCAGCAAGTCCCTTGAGTCAGACTGATTTGATCCAAGCAATCACTGCTGGTTATTAATTGATCTTTGTGTTCCTAGGGTAGAAAACATATGGAAAGATCTTAAGGTCTAATTTCAGCTCTGTAATTGGAAACAACAACTACTACTACAACAATAACAACAGCAATAACAAACCAGGCAATAAGGTCCTAATCTGATTGGAGAAGAGATATATTCATAATCTTTCATTTAGTTCCAAGCATGGTTCAGTACACAGGCCTAGTTGCTCTCAAATAAAGGAGGAAATTGATAGTAATAAGGAAGGGCTCTGCAATACCCCACAAGAATTTACTGTAAATCTTCTTAGCATGCTTCAAGGTGACCAGAGGTTGTTTACAAGTTCAATGGGCTCTGGGAGAAAATAAAATTCCCAGATCATTTGAGAATTGCTGGACACTAGCTCTGTGTCAACACTATTCTTGAAGACTCAGAACATCTGTTTAGTCTGTGGGTTAAAGTAGAAAGTTATGATGGCTGAATAATAAATGGAGTTTTAATTTGGGCTCATCTCACAGTGATCCCAGTGAGTCCGTGACCAACCTCTAGTCATTTTCTCTCAAACTAAATATTCAACCATCATGAAGATAAAACTACTATACTTCCCATGCCAAAATATTTTTTAAAAATTTGGTAAATGCACTGTGCTACATACTCTCTTATGAGGCATATTTGAATTCATTCGATGGGTCCATGGTTAAATTAAATCCAACATTCCCACCTCCTTAAATTTTTGGATTCCTTATTCTACATTATATGTAGGAATTTCTGGCATTTCAAGTTCATTTAATGTTGGCCACCTGACCATCTGGGAGAATACTCATAATGGCTTCTTGTTTCTGTCATAAGAGTAATTATGGGTAGGCAGTGCCAACTCAAGCATTGGAAACTGATCCTCCATCATAATTAATTCAAAGCAATAACACAGTCCATAGGGAATTTCAGCAATTAATGAGAAATCTTTCAAGTTTTAAAAGATGGAAGTGTGATGATTCCTATCACATCTCCATTTTAATTCTACTGTTTTGAATCTGCAAAAGATTGAAGCATTTGGAGAATAATTTGGGGTCATTAAAATCTTACTTATGTGCACATTCCAAGTGCCTGAAAAAGGTGCAACTGCATCACCAGTTCAGAAGAAACACTCTGCAAGTACATGGTGCCAAACCTAGAATGCAGTGTGTGTATGCAATCAGAGACCATTATAAGATGCTCTGTCTCCAATACGAATATAGCGCCACCTTCTATCACTCCTAATGGCTTACATGGGATTTTTGTATTTTCCATTCCCACAAGTGTGGGTGCTAC